TACAAATTATACCTGAATATCACAACCGAACTTTTTTAATGGACATGAAATAAGAGCTTTTGGACAAAGTTGACCATGTTGTTCATATAAAAAACGATCAGTAAAAGTTGATGAACATTGTTCACATTGGAGATCTTCAAGTGTACAACCTTGAAAATGACTCTTCATAGAAAAAAGACAAATATTAGTTGTTTTCTTTTTAAATTTATTCTAAAAATTTACTGCATATGATGTATAATCTCCTCTCCATGAACATCCTTTTGATTTATTATGACAAACAATATCTGACAAACGTTTCATATCATTTTTCATAGCTGAATCTGTATAAATCTATAAGAAAAAAAGAGTGTACAAATATTATTGTTGTTTTATTTAGATTTTTTGTAATCACTTACTATATTATTTGTAATTACTTGAGTACAATCTTTGATAGAACATACTGGAAATTGTTCGCTACTGAACAGAAAAAAACAGAGTTTCGAGAAAAAAATTCAATATATAAAACATACTTTATCAATTTTTCAAGACATGTAGAACAATATCGATGGCCACATGTAGTACATTTGGGTTCGACAAGTAAATATTGACAAAGTGAACATAAATAACAAGATTTAATTGTTGACGACGTTTTGTCAAATGGCAAACCATCCGAAATAGACATTCTGAATAGAAATATAAGAATGTATTTAACATCATGATCTTTTATATAAACATTTTTCTAACAATAGTCGTAAAATTCAACCGATCATTTTTTTTTCAATCTATCTTTCTTCATGGATAATCATCATTTATTGGTTAGTTGCTAATGTTCATTTGTCTCGTTGGTCGATTGATATGAACAAAGAAAAGAGTATTTATTTATATCTCTTGATGTTAATTTTTTGCAGTTCTATCTTAATTTATAACTTTAAAATCAACATATACTTTCCGTTTTATTCCAATACATTATAATAAAGAGTTCAAACTTCGTGATAAACATCAAATTAATTGTTTTCGTTTTGAATAAAATATCAAACGTATGATATCTCAACTAGTTTAAGAGATAAATCATTGTGTCATAATCAAATTCAAACATGTTCGATAAACATAAATGAAATTATGAAAATTATTTTAAAAGTTGCTTAGAGAATCACATAGAAATAATTAATATAAGTCTAAAGGATAGATTTTCTTTTAAAAGGAAAGACTAAAAAAATTCTTTTTTATGACCAATTGAACTTATGAAAGATACACATGAATTATCAAAAAGAAAGAAAGAAACTATAAGGATATAATAGACACAAACTGGCCTTATTAATGTCTATTTTAATACAGGAGAAGGTCATGCGCTATGTTGTTTATAGAAAGAAAAAAGAGAATTTTTGTCAATGAATATTTTTTACATATATACATACATACATACAAAAGTAAAATTATAAGCAGATAAAAATCAATTAATCTTCGATGAAGAAGTTCATGGTGAACTCTTTGAATTTGCATTCATTATGTTGGGTGTGGGTGGGTGTGTGTGGGTGTGTGGGGTGTGGGTGTGGGTGTAGATGAACAATAAACAAGTACATTCACACCACACACCCAAACCCACACCCATTTCGACACCCACACCCACAAAAATCTATCTTTGCTTATAGTCACATTTACATGAGTCATCAAATCATTCTCCTATTTGAGATCCAATAACGCACTTCAAATGAAATTCATACTTACCATTAAAACTTAATCTATAGACTATATGTCTGATACAGATCATTAATCATATTACAATCTTTCGATGAATTCAAATCAAATTGTTCAATTAAAAATTAAAGGATTGATTCAACGATATCGTTTATTTCTACTTATTTACGACTAATATTTATTAAATTATTGTCAATATTACTATAACATAGCACTGTTATTCGCAGAAAACCGGCTTTTAACGAAAATAAAATCTACCGAGGAATATATATTCTGCATTGAACATACATTTCAGGCAACTTTTTTTCTTATAGTTTTCCGTGAAAATAGATTTTTCGTATAGTAGTGCACTCGACATTGACTTGCATTTGTCACATTGTTTTCCAGCATAACGTCACAAACTATAGAAAAAACTTCCACTGATGAACAATGCATATTACATATATTAAATACATACAACCTCAACATGTATTTCCTCTGTTCGTAAACATAATCTTTGTTTCATTTCTTGACGATGTCATCTAATCGGTATGATAGAAAAAGAAGAAGAAAGAGGGTGTGGGTGTGGGTGTGGGTGTGGGGGGGGGGGGTGTGGGGGGGGTGGGTGTGGGGTGTGGGTGTGGGTGTGAGTGTGGGGTGTGAGTGTTGGTGTGGGCGTGCATGTGGGTGTGGGTGTGTGGGTGTGGTGGGTGTGGGTGTGGGTGTGGGGTGTGGGTGTTGGTGTGGGTGTGAGTGTGGGGTGTGAGTGTTGGTGTGGGCGTGGGTGTGGGTGTGTGGGTGTGGGTCAGAGTTGGAACCGGTCCGGCAATCTGGCTCCGGTCCGGCCGGACCGGACAAGACCGGACAAAAAGTTAAACCGGGCCGGATAGAACCGGATTTTTGCCAGTTCATCATTACAAAATTGTTATTTGCACCCAAGAATATTCTCTACTGAAAACGGTGTTTTTTGTGAAATTTTCAAGCCAGAAGAATGCGGTTGCGAAAGACTTAATAGATATCTTGTCTTCAACTTGACTATAAATCATTGATTGTTCTCTTTGTAGCTCTATCGATTTCTTTCTCGTGTATCGCTCAATTTAACCTAGATCAAATAATTTATTTTCTTGTTTTACTTAGGCAGCTGCCTGAATCAAGAAAAATAAATATTTACAATTTTGTGTTAGATTTCTTATAAACTTGCTTTTTTTCCTTTTTTGAAATTAAGATGAAAAAACAGATTTGATCTGAATAGCTAATTTATATCGATATTGAACTCGAAAGGTTGACGCACCTTGCTATGAAATATGATGGAAAGAGTCTCATTCCCAAGTTTTAGTTTCCAGTTCGGATTAGGGGTGGCAATTTCTTATTAATTTATTTTAAATTTAAATTTATTTGAAATGTAAATTTTAAAAATATAAATTTATTCCAACTTCTAATTTTGTAAATTTAAATTTATTTTAAATTTAAATTGGATTTACATAAATTTTAAATTCAGCTTCAATCAATATAAATCCAATTTAAACGGAATAAAATTCAATTTAAATTCATTTAATTAGCTTTAAATTCTATATGAATTAATGTGAATGGATTGAAATCCAATTAAATGAATTTA